TTTTTTTTTTTTTTTTTTTTTTTTTTCTTTCTTTCTTTGCTTTAGATTATGCATGTGCGTTTTTACAAACAAGGCTAGTTTAATTTTTCCAAGGGGTAATCTGTCTAAACGCATCGCTAAAATCCTTCAGAAAAACAAAATAAACAATTGGCGACAACGAAAAATTTAAATAAAATAAGAAATCAATCACGAAAAAGAAATTCTTCGACAAACAATAATCAAAACGAACAACCGCGAGATGATCCAAAAACCTCAAAAAGTTCCTGGGACCCCAACACACGACAAATAATACTGAACAGCAAGCCACCATTGCTACAGCTCGTACGAATTTTTGCATTCTTTTCTTCTTCTCGTTCTCGGGGAGGGACACCGCTATGTGGGAAGTGTGCAGCTTCTTTATGATTGTCAGATTGAGTGACACAAGTAGGATGAACAGGAGAATTAAGATAGCGTAGAAAACAAAATGATAGATGATCCATCCTCTTCGATCAAGATCTACATCATAACAGTATACGTCACCTTCGTAGGTTATTATATCGAAGGCGTAGAGGGTGTAGCTGTAGATAGCAGAGGGAAAAAGCCAGGACAGACCAACTAGACACCAGAATAAGAGCCTTCTAATGGGTTGAACGCGAATTGGACTTAATACAGCTCTTAGACGCTCCATTGATATGACTATCAAAGTCGTGATGGAGACCATGGGAGCAACGAATCGGAGCAGAGTAACTACCTTGCAGGATATTGTACCGAAATATCCACCTATCTTCCATGATCGGGACTCGGTAAAAAGGATATTCAGCCATTCCTCAAGGCCAAGGGCCATGACTAACATATCTGAGAAAGCCATGTTGACGATCAGGTAACACATGTCTTTATGAAGCTTCTTTGTTTTATAGACGAGAAGAATGACTATCGAATTCAACGTCAAGCAGAACAGGAAAATGAAGACAAGGGCTACGACTTTGCTGACCCATTCGCTTGTTGTATCTGCACTCAAATCCTCACATTTGCCAATCCGTAGACCAGATGTTTGGATGTTTGGCGGGTAATCGTTGTAATTTAAAAGCTTTTGACTGTCGTTTTGGCTTTGGTTTGCGGTCATCTTTATTCCGCGTTCAAGACGCAAGGCTCAGATACCGACTGATGAATCTAAAGTCCAAAGTCACTATCGAAAAAGAAGTTAGAAAATTCATCAGTTGTGACTCGTTTTGTTTTGTTTCATTTTGTTTTGTTTAAAAAAAAACTCAGCTGTTCATTACGATCGAGAACTAAGTGTGAAATTAATTAACATAAAGAAGATCTAGATAAAAAGCAATTAGTTGAACATTTTAAAAGCTCTTGGGGCCATTTTCGCTGCCGTTTATTGATAACTACAAAAAATACTATTAAGACTTTAATAAGATTCTAATAATTATCTCAGTAAAGGAAATGTTTCCTTCGGTTTGTATTGGTTCAGTCGAGCAACCAATGGCGAGTTAAGAGCAAGACGAGTCAGAAAAGTAAACAGATTCTAATTAACTCTACGAATGGTGACATTTAAGAGACTTCAATTACTGCTCATTAGGAGAGTCTGCCTCATTTTCCACTCATTGCTGAACTTCAACTGGTAGGAAATTCAAATGTCTTTCCAAGATCTTCCCCGTCTCAGTCCCGCCTACTACTATTAGTATTGAGATGAAATTGAATCGGAAACGAGGCGAGGCGAAACGAGGCGAAACGAGGCGAAACGAAATGAAATCAATCGATCAAAATAAAAGGAAATAAAGGAATAGAATAAATGAAATGAAATGAATCAATCGAAAACAAATAAGAATTATAAAGTTGAATTAAATTGAATGTAAATAGTGACATGGGTCAACAGTGAAAAAATGTGTTATCAATTAAATGGATGGATGGATGGATGGATGGATGGATGGATGGATGGATGGATGGA